TTAAATTTAATATATAAACACAAATATTTTATATAGGATCATTATTTAATTCATGAAAGAGGGAAAAGTGATGGGATTACAAAATGCAGTTCAAAGTAATATTTACCAGGTAGATTAACGTTATAAAAATATCCCTTTGGCATATCGAATAAATATAATTCTCTTCCTAATACTATAGCATTTACTAGAAATATAATTACAAATATATTCAATCGCATGTGTAGATCTATATCAGAGTAGGTATTTAAACATGTCGGCTTATGAATGTCATATATTCGCATTCGTAACTCAGGGTTATGCGTAACATGCGCTCGTAGCTCGTAGGTCTGTAGGTACGTTTTGTACCTCGGATAAGATTAAATTGTCTGTCATAACTAAATCGTAATGTAAAGTAAATTAGATATATATGTGCGACAGACGTAATGAAGCTGTCGAGGGCGAGACGGCGCAACGGCCCCCAACAGCCCCATAGAGGTAGCCCCCCCATAGCCCAGCAGCTCAGTCGGAGCGGCTGTCACTGATTGTGAGCGGACTGAGCCATTAAACATGCACAAGAACGCCTCTGACGTTCCGGTATTAATTTTGACATTCCACGTTGCCAATTTGTTAGGCACTTTATTAAGTGATAGCGTGAAAGAATATATTTCATTATTGCAAAGCTAACTGACAGTTATTCTATTGAGTAATGAAGCAATTACAAGTTTACACTAAACATTTAATAAAATATTTTTTTACAAATTATAATATATTATTATATGTAATATTAAGACAAGGATTCTACATGAGTAAGAGAAATATTAATGGACATTACCACGATTCGTATTTTGTTATGCTGACGATAATTTATAACCAGTGGTGCATGGCATTGTGCCTTAAGGCAAATTACTAGAATTTGCCGTACCGTAATTTAAAAATTTAAAAAATTTGGAAAAAAAAATTATAATTATTTGCGACTTCTTTGAACATTTTTGAAAATTTTTGAAAAACTTGAATATTGAAGAAATGTCTGAAATTTCTTGAAAACTAAATTTTTCAGATTTTTTTATTTAATTTTGAAATTTCTTGAAGGTTTGATCACAATTCATAAACAATGAAAAAAAAGTAATAAATGAGTACAATTTTTTAATTGAGTTTTATGGTGTAGTAGATTCTACACTTTATACTGTAGAGTATTCATATTGCTTTTATTACCTAAAATCAAAAGCAGTAGTTTCTACTAGAACAAATTACTTCAAATTGTAGTGACCTGCACAAATATTAGTAACGTAAATGTATTTAATTTTTTGATAGTTATACCTTAATCAAAAAGAGTATAGGGAATTATCTATAGTAAACGCATACAATTTTTCGATTAAATTTTATATTGGGTTGTGTATTCAAATCGCTTCTTTTATCTAAAATATAAATAGCAGTTATTAAAAAAATATTATTAAAAAAACTCACTGTTAACTATAAGTTTTTCAAAATGCAAATGTAGTTATTTATTTCAACTATTTTACTCTATTCAAAAAATATAAGAAAACATCTAGTTGAACGCATACAATTTTGCAAATAAATTTACAATATTTTTTCTATATATCATTTATTACCTAATAAACAGTAGGTTTTATAAAAATAATTACTTCAAAACGATCTTAAATGTGAAATTATTAGCAAATACATCTATAGTGAAATGCATACAATTTAGCAACAAATTTTTTATTTGAGTTTTTTATTCATATCGTTTTCAATACTTATAATATACATAGTAGGGAAAACTGGGGGTACGGTTGTTCCACTTTTATTGTAATCAGCCATAATTTTGTTAAATTACTGGTTAGCTGGAAGAAAAGTAAATTAAATGGTAATTTGAACATTTGCCTACATTGAAATAGTGAAATACTGTCCTTAATACGATGTAGTCATAAAATCATACAAAAAGGGGCCAGTGGCACAACAGTCCACATCCAAGGGACGGTTGGGGTCAGTAGTGACGGGTATAAAAATAGTTTAAAGACAATAGGTATAAACACAAAGAAGGATTATAACGGTTTTTATTGTAGTTTATAACATTAACATGTAATAATAATAAATATAATAACACTAACATGTAATAATATGTAACACAACACAACATAAACATTTAAACAAAACTTATGAATAAAATATAACAATATATAACAAAAATAATTTTTTAAGCAAAGTTAATAAGAATGAAATATTTGTGATTTTTCCCTATATAGAAATTCTTCTTTCGTATTTTATCTTAGTTATGTTGGATTTGTTTTATATGTTCAATCTTTACTCGAGAAAGAAAAGAAATACATGTCACAACCGTACCCCAAAATATCTAAGCTAACTTATCTAAGCAAAAACTAATTTCTGGTAGACAATCATTGATAATAAATTTACAGTAAAATAGCAAACAAAGTGATCTGTATATAATAGTTATGATTAAAAGAATATAAACATGAAAACTTACTTTTGGCTCTTTATAAGCAATGCGGGTTACAGATAATGTTAATATAACGCACTGACTGAAAACAATAATAGGAACTTCTTGGAATAATCATTCTTTATCTTTCTTCCTTTAGACCCCATCTCAAAATCAGTATAGTTTAGCTTTTATAGCAACTGTCCCTACCACAGCCTGGCACAACGGTACCTAGTTTTCCCTAGTTGATTTTAGCTTTTAACAGACTCAGTTTAATGCAAAACTTGGCTAAATATACAGCTATTAAAAATATTAAATAATATCTCTAGTGAAACACATAGAATTTTGTATTTGTGGTTCTATAACGTTTTCGTCCCCGCTCTGTTCAAATCATTCAACTAAACCATTGTCTACGATTCGTAGAGCAATATATTTGCTTTATTATCCATTAGAGTTGTATATCCAGCGTTCAGTATCAAATTGGATCCATCAGCGTCTAAACGATAATCAAATCTCAAACGGCGTTATATCTCGACGCAGAAGTAGCTTTTGCGCGATGCACAAGTTCCTAACTTTGCAGTTCCAGAGCAGAGCAGATACGATGATGAACTGCGTATCAAAGTGTTATTTAGTTCAGTTACTTGGTTACCTGTATGTAATATATGATCGATCGATTCGATCCTGAAACTAACTGGAACTGAAACGTAGTTTTAAGGAAGTTTGAGAGCCAAAAGTTTAAGCTATAAATTTTGTCCCGTCATAAGATGAAAATATTAATTGCTATGTTAGGACAAAAATTAGAAATAATGACGCAAGCATAAAAATTATTAGTTCAGTTCTTTTTTTGTTTTTTTCTCTATCGTTTATATTCATGTCTTGGTATCAACACACTAAATCCATAAAAACAGTTTCTATTTCTGCAACTATTATATATTTCAGTTAATTACTTTTTTAATTATCAAACAAAATTTGAATGTTATAAAAATAAACAAAAAAAACAAACTCCCAAACAGAAAATCAGAATTGTCAATTTACAACAGTATACTTATATACAAGGCGATAATCAAATCCGTGTGGATCTACGGAATTCAACTTTGGGAACACCGGGGCATATGTTAATTTTATTATATTTTTTTTCTTTTGTTTATTTTTTCATTATTATATTTTAATTACCTATAGTAGATATGCCACTTGGGGTGGGGAATACAAAAAATATTAGTAATAAAACATGTCAAACAATCAACTTTGTGACTATGTTAAGGAAAACTTCCAGCTAATTCGTCATTGTAGAAACTTTTTTCTCTATTTTTCAAGAATTTTAAAACTGGTTCTTTTGACCCCATATGCGGAGTAAAATGGGACAGCCATTGGGCAAACAGGTCCAATGTCTAATGTTTATTTCTAAAGGGATTTTACATAATAATATCTACATTATTCAATCAATAAATTTTATTTGTACTTTTTTCATAGAGATATCACTGTATATGATCTTGATCTGGTATTTCTTCAGAAAAATTTATCAACAGAGTTGGAATAACTATTTTTTTAATTTATCTCTTGTAAAAATGTTTTTTGAACTGAATTTACTTTTTTAACTATTTTCTATATTTATACCTTTGCTAGGGTAAAGGTTCAGTTGGTCCTTTTTACCCCACCCACATGTGAGCTATTATGAAAGTTATATGAAAGATTCTATTTAAACTAACTTAAAAATTACATCACATCTTAAAAACAGTTGAATAACAAATACTCAAATGTTATATTGAGACCCCATAAACTAAACGCTTCCAACGAAAGAAAACACCTTTTTAATGTATTTTGTAACATTGCCGTTAATTTTTTGATAGCAAAGTCGTGAAAATCTAAGTGGTGGCTGGTTATACTTCTTTCGCCCTGTACTTTCAAATATTGTTGTTAAAAGTACCTAAAATAACTTGGTTTCGAGATATTGATGGTGGACCTTTTTACACGCTCAATGATGAAAATAAATAATATGTGATTATCTAAGGTTACCACCAGACGCAGTTTTGATTTGATTTTGATGAATTTTTGTTTTTTTGAATAACTTTAACAAGCACTTAATATGTATTTTTTGGTTGTTATAATTTATTTTTGTCAATCAACCTTAAATGTCTTATTTACAAAATTGTTAAGTACGAAAAAAATGATATTAAAAACAAAAAAATGAAGATAAAACGAAACAGAATTAAGATAAAATAAAATAATAATAGCAGGTAATACAAAATAATAATATAAATGAATTATGACATGATGATGATGTACCTACTTATGTAGTCAAAAGGCGAAAATATACCAAGGCGCATTAGTTATGATACGTAGAATTTTGTTCTGGCACCTTTTAATGATATTTATGTTTGATTTACAAGAGCAACCCCATAGTTAATTCCGTAAGTCCAAATGGGCACTATTAAAGTTTTGTATGGAACTACTTTGTTTTCGAGAGAGATTTCGGATTTCGTCTGAAAAAACTAGTAAAAATCTTTTTGTTTCAGTTGTGATCTCCATATCATAATATGCAGTGTCCCCATGAAATTTCATTTTATATATTAATTATGTATTTTTTCAGGTATTGACTGGCAACAGTGATACAGCCTCAGTGGTGGAGCATCGCTTATTGCCCCCAATATTTGCAAGCAAAGTCCGTCTGTTTCCGCACAGTCTGCATAGAAGAACAGTGTGTCTGCGTGCCGAATTACTTGGCTGCATGGATGACGGTAAGTAACAATTTAAAACATTTAATTCAAATATACATCTACACGAAACGAAAAAAAATCTTTGTCGTTGAGTTACCTTGAATTTTAATTGAATCGAGCCTATCACTTTATAATAAAGGTTTATGATTCTTACCCCCACCATATGTAACATATAAAGGTTATACCGTACTTAAAAATTATGTTAAGGTATTATAAACTGAACAACAGTGCTCAAAAACAAATTCTTCCCTGAATCGAATCAAAAGTAATTCTCAGAGCAGTATTATCCGTTATTTAAACATTCTCCAAAGTAATTTACATAATTCCCTCGAGAAACTTCGAATCTATGCACATACCCAGAATGCACAGGGGTATATTTTTACCCCCATCAATCATGTTTTTATATAGAACACTATTGAGACCTAAACGTAAATGCCCGCCAGTTTCGAATTGCATGTTAGTGCAACCAAAACGGAAATTAAAGATACATCGACGGCGATAATCGAACCACGAACATCGGTTTTATACTCAATTGCTAATCACATTTACATGTACGATGTATTTTTGTATCGTAAAACTTCTTTATAATGGACTAGTATTATGTAAATAAATTACCCACTTAAACCTCATGAACAACTTTATTTAACCATTTTTTCAACAGTAAAAATAAAATGCAGTTTGTAGTTAAATTATATTAATTTGAATTGAACATTTGAATGTTTCAAAAAACATTCGATTCCTATTGATAGGGAGATGTGCTGATTAGTTTTTGGCAAAGGCAGGTCCAGCCGTTACGGAGATACGGAGTGCGGAAAATAGAGACCGAGTTTTTGAAAGAACGGAGTATCCGCTTTGAATGATCCAAAAAACATTCAATTTGTAATGTAATGATTGGGAGAAGAGGTGATTAGTTTTTGGCAAAGGCAGGTCCAGCCATTTAGAAGATACAGAGCTACATGTGCCAATGACAGTTTTCAAAATTCAAAATTCAAAACCTTTCTGCTTGTGTAGACAAAACAATTGCTTTTAGAAAAAAACATTTTTAATTCAATCTTTTTTTTATTTTATTTTTATATCGAAAATAGTTCAGATTTCAATTTTGATTTTGGCTTAAGTTCTAAAGCTCACTAATGTACTTTAAATAAATAATTTCAACTTTGTGATTCAGTCTATATAATTCTTATAAATATTAGAATAGTTAGTGTTACAGTATTTGTAATAATCTATTTGAAAACATTTAATATTCATCGAATTTTTCGTTACGGTACGGAAAGTTTCAGCAATTTGCCTTATGGCACGATGACATACATCACTAGTTTTTTTTGCTCCATGGGCCGGGTAAGAAGGAAAAGATCGCAAAGAGATCCAACGTTTTTCTCTAATTTAAAGGGATTTTACAAAATAATAACTACATTATTTTCACATTGTGAAATACAAAATTTATGGATATTTTTTCCAAAGATTTCATTGTATATAACTTTGATCTAGTATTTAAGAAAAAAATAATTAAGCAGCAGATGTCGTAGACTTTTTTTAATTTAATTTAATTTACTTTTTTATTTACTATTTATTGCTGTTTACACCCCTGCCAATGTAAATATTTAGTTGGTACTTTTCACCCCATCCACGTATTTTAGTATGAATCAATTATTTTTTTTTTATTTAAATATGAAATCATTTTAAAAATTCTGAAATCGATAAGTTTAACACCACGTTAATATGCGCTATTTATTATTTGTTAAATTGCTAGTAGTACTTATTAGCATTTATTAGAATAACTCTTCAGTACTAGTAGTACTTTTTAGTACTAGTAACCTTCTATCTATAATAAAATATCTAAAATATATATTCTATCATTTGATCAGAAATAAAATATCCTAATAACTGAAAATTGTAATTGAATAACTATTTGCTCATAAAACTAAGTTTCAATTAATTCGCCTCCAGCTACAAACTTAATTCAAAGCGAATAACTATATAAGCATATAGTTTGCATATCTCATCTCGGTGCTTTACATCGTTTGCAGATGGAGAATTCAAATCCAGACGAATTTGTTAGATAGTTTGTTAGATAAAACGTTTGATCCTGGTAAATTATGGCACAGAGAATGGTGTGCTAGAAACATATGTATCAATCGATAATAATGGAGCTGGATAGCTATTATTAGATATTTTATTGATAAGAGCCGGTCACAAAGGTCCAATTTAATTTTCAACAATTATAATGTCTAAACCAAATGAACTATATCACAACAAATAACACGTATCAAACTACGTTCAACAAAACATTTTTTTCTAATTATAGAAATGTTTGTCATGTGATTTTTTTGCCTTATAGACTTGGTAAAAAGTTTACCAAGGTACAATGTTTTATTTTAAATTTCAAAGGAATTTTACGGAATAATAAATATTTTGTTCAATCAATGTTTACACTTTTGGCAGATATTCAGTTGGTCCTTTTTACTCATCCCGCACAGATGTTATATGAAAACATCTGTTAAAACTAAATTAAAACTAGTTGTGTATGGCATCGTGCCTTAAGACAAATCGCCGGAACTTCTCCTACATTAACAAAATGTTCGAGAAATATGAAATGTTTTCATATAGATTATTATAAATACTGTAACATTGTCTTATATTTATAGGAGTTATATAAACTGAATTACAAAGGTAAATTTATTTATTTAAAGTATAAAAGTGAGCTTGAGGACAAAAGCCAAAATTAAAGTTAAAATCTAAATAATTTCGGTATACAAAAAGGAGTTTTAGAAAAAAAGAAAAAAACAAGTTTGAAATATTCTTCTTCCAAATGTAATTATTTTATCAAAACAAGCAGAAAGCTTTTGAATCATTCAAATCGGATGCTTAGTTCTCTCAAAAACTGCCATTTTTTGCACATTTAGCTCGGTATATCCGAAACGGCTGGACCTGCCTTTGCCAAAAACTAATCAGCACATCTTTCTATCAATAGAAATCTAATGTTTTTAAAAAATTGTATCTATACATACATACACACGTACACATTTGTTTTTTCTGAGGTATGCCAAAATATACAGAAACCTTCAAAACGTTAAAAAATGTAAACAATTACAAAAACTTATCCTATGGGAAGTTAATAATAACACATATTTTAAAATAATTAAATAAAGTATTCTTAACATTTATATTCAGGTTTTGTAAACTAAACCAAAAAACTAACTTTGTAAACAAATACTTTGTTATAAATTTTCAAACATGGTAGTTCATCTTCTGCTAGCAATGTTGCTTTATTTAAAACGATGGCTGATACATATATTTCCTCTCTACTTTCAAATATTTTTGTTAAAAAATTCCTGAGTTCACTTGTTTTTAGATATTTGTGGTGGACCTTTTTACGCGCGGACCTTTCATCCGCACTATAGTCTACATACAAAAAGCTCTGAACAAGAAATTCAGTTAAAAAAAACTGGATGTATAATGAACATATAAAATATGTTATACGACCTATTTTACTATTCCGAAATAAATAATTATGTAGATTGGTTATGTAATTAGTTGCATTTATGTAATTAATTATGATCAATTTCCTTAAGTTCTTGTATATTTGCTAACAGTTATATTTTTGACACTTTACTTGAAGATAAAGCATAAAACATTCGAAAAAACTCATAAAATGTGTAGTGAATGCAGCGAGAACCTAATTTATCTTATTGTATTTATTGAACCTTATTTTTAATACATCACAAACCAACGATTATTAATCAATAAATCAATATATAGAAGAAGATCAAAATTACTTTTTCAAATATATTAACTTCAATTTAATTTTCTTCAAATCAAATATTTTTTCATCCTTTATTAAATGCAATATAATGTGGTTTGTACGTTTTTACAAAAAATTGTTTGTTTTACCAACTGAAGGAGAGTCAAATTGGATATCTAAGTACATGCCATATATGGAAGTATTTAAAGTCCATTTTAAGAAAATGATGGAATAATAGTATAAATTATTGCTCATGTAGTATTGAATACTACATAAACGCTAAAAATGAATAAGTTTAGAGTTCTGGCAAAAAATTCACCTCTATCAGTTCATGCAGAAATCAGTTTGAAGCTTTTTCATATTTGAAACAGTAGTAATATTCGGAAAACGTTATTGATAGCAGTGTATGCTATTGCTAAAATATCAACAATATATTATTAATTCTATAGTTTCTCTAAATTTCCGTATATTTTAATAGTAGTTCCAATGTATCGTATTGTAATGAAGACCTCTCAACCAACAAATAAGTGTTTATATCTTGCAAATACCGAACATCAGATAACATATGGTTAGTTGAAATAGTTTAACCTAGTTTACTTCAATAAAATTTGTCGGTGAAATTTAATAAAAATTTAATTTTATTCAAAATTCATAAGATAGTCAGCAACTATGAAAAGCACTAAAATAAACAGAACAGATACATATATAAATTTACTCACATAGACACATTAACATATATATTGCATTGCTTAAGATGTGTTAATAACAAATCTCTCTTATGAGCGATTTATAAAAAAAAATTAATATTTGTTTTGTATCGTTTTGCCAATTTCTTTTGAGACCGAGTGGTGTTATTAAGCAGGGATTAATAGTTCATTACTAGGAGCTATCTTAATGCCCAAGATCAAGATTTGTATATCTAGCATCTGTTCTTTGTAACATTTTTAAGAACGGAATATTTAATAATATAAACGAAAACGTATGAAATGATCATAACTATTTAAAATCTTGCAGAGTACACAGGCAGTTGATTATAAATGTATAAAATATGGCTATTACCTGAACAGATAAAAATTTTCTATCATAACTCCAGTTATTTTCTCAATTTGTTGCAGCGATACAAAATAAATTGAATTCACATTACAATTAATGCAATGCATTTGAGGCTAAGATAATTTACTGTCCATATATAAATTTTATTATCGTTATCAGATATCTGTTTGAATAAATTAAATTTAAATTCACTTACAATTAGTGCAATGCAATCTACTTTAGGATA